AGCTCGCATGCACACACACGCGCGCTGACACCTATAAAAGTGCCTGCCTGCAAAGCTGCAAAGAATGCATAAAGTTTTTTGCGCGTTCGCTCTGTACGCGCGCGAGGACACGAGGCATGTATTTTTTATATCCCGAGAAAATGTATGGGATTGCTGCTGGCGGGACGCAAGAAAATCTAAAAATCCACCTATCCAATTTATTTTGTTGAGCGTGCACGGTGCGTACAGAGTGTCTGTGTGCGCGTGCCTGCGTGTATGTATGCGTGAATAGGGGCTGAGTAAGAGAGAAAGAGAGGAGAGATCGTTGGGCTAGCTTTTACGCTTCCACAATATTGTATTAATACCCTTGGGGTGGAGGAGGTGGAGGAGGAGTGGAGGCGAGAGCAAGAGAGAGAGAGATAGAACGCAATCGTGTAAACGCAACGCAATTTACGAGCTGTTGTGATGTCGGGTTAAGTTTTCGCTCTAGCCGAAGCGCTTGACGTCTCACGCGTACCCACGAGCCGCCTAGCATACTGCGACTCACCCCCGCGCGCCGCTGTCTTTCGCTGCTGCTGCTGCTGCTGATGTCAGTCGACTGCTTTATATATCCCGCGCGCCGCGCCTAACGCGAGAGCAGGAATCCTTCCTCATTTCTCTCGTTTTCTTTGCTCCTCTTCACGTTCGCGCAGACACACTCTTTCTCTCGCTCCGCGTCCCTCTTTCTATCGTTCTCGCGCTGCGTATATAATTTTGCATCAGCATTCTCGAGATACACGAGTCTGGAATCTATTGATGATCCCGGTGACTTTGTTTTGTTCGTTTATCTGCGAGGTGAATACTGAGCTTCATTCGTGTTATATGAACATTCAAGGAAGATGTCATGCATCACTTTTTTTATTCGAAAAATAAATTTTCAATGCAATAATATACATATATTTGTTTCGGTAATTTTTCGATTAAATGAAATGTTGAAGAAACAAAAATAGTTTAACGAGCGAAAAGTTTAATTTACACCATCCAGAGTCTTGACTTGACTTGTATTATACAGCTATTTTGTCTTTGACACTTGCAGATTTACTGAAATAAAGGTACTCGCCATCTAATGGTAGAAAGTAGTTGTATCATATTTAAAGTAGTTGAAATAACTAATATGAATTTTTTGAAACAATGAAATTGTAATTTTTCAGAACATTTAAAATGGATTTAATGTTCTTTACATAATTTCGTCGCCCCAGCGCAGGAAGGTATTTTATTAAAGTCGGGTGCAAAATTGTCTAAGTTGCTATGTTATAGCATAGGACATATAGTTACCTTTTTGTCTCTGAGCTTAAAAAGATGTCTTCCTGTGCTGGAGCGACGATTTCATCAGAATAATTGCCGAAAACAAACCAAATAAATGTTAATGTATTTTACAACATTTTAAATGGTAATATTTCTATAATTCTAAGACCTCAATTAATCTTGAGCATTTCAACCAAGTTAATATACCATTTCAATACTTAATGTCCTCCAAGTACTTTAATAAAAATGTATTCTCAGTCCAATAAATAAAAACATCGAGAACTTAAAAATAATTCTTACGATTGTCTTCGCTGTCACTCCTAATTCAAATTCCAACCCCGAAGCTTTTATTCCGCAATAAAATGTAATTATCCTGGCCGTAAAGACGCGCGGAAAGAAACTTACACTCGAGCCTGGCGCGCCGAAAACCCTCTCTGCATTCCGAAACTATCTCTCCGCAGCATACAATATATCCCACGTGTAACGCGCGCAGCAGCAGCAGCAGCATCCACAGGTTACTGGTTATGTACGCTGACCATCTCAACACACCCTAAAGCCTCGACCTGTATGTTATTAGCTGACCGTCTCGCCGATAAAGTTCATACCAGCATAGAGAGGCAGATTATATAATTTCGGTCAGACAAACGAGCAGCAGCGGCAACGGCAGCAGCAGCAGCAGCAGTGGGAGCGGCACGCGGAATCTTGCACGAGCTGACCTAGCCAGCCAGCCAGCCAACTCGAGCCAGTGGAAAGAGCGAGAGAGAGAGAGAGAGAGAGAGTCAAACAGATGTCACTTGGTACGGAGCCAAGTAGCGCTTCGTGAGTGCTTTTCAAAAGCAAAATGCAACTTTGTCTCGAAATCCTCCTGCTGATCGTATATAACTGCTGTATAAGCTGGGGGACTTTATACTACTACGGGCAACTCGCTGCAGCAGTATTTTACTCGCAGCTTTCGCATATGTATGTATGTGCGCTGCTGCTGCTGCTGCAACTTCACCCGACGACGACGACGACACGCTCCTTTGTTTTTGTGATGAGTTGCCCCTTTTTATCAGAGCTGAAATATTATTTCTGGAATAATGAAGTTATCCGCAGTCGTGTGTGCTTCGTAATAAACACGCTACTCCGCGCCACTACTTCGCTCGTAACAAGCCAAATCTCGTTTTGCCCTGAATATAGAAAATTGGTATTTTGCAAAATGCGCGGATGACGTCGTCGTTATCCAACGACGAGCGAAAATATCATTTCTAAAATCCGAGCACGATAATAATTTTCCGAGTGAGCTTTTAAATATACTCTTATCTTTCCGCAATTCCCTTGAATAATACTAATGCATATTTTTACGTCATCGTGCGTCGCATATACAATCGTCATTTCGCGAGCGTCCTTTGCGCATATTTAAGACCATTCGAAGACAACTCGTTAATTTTTTTATGAATTTTAACTTTTAATTAGTCCCAGCATCTTCAGATAATAATTAATGAAAAATGACTGAAAAGAGAAAGAGAGAGAGAGAGAAAGGCGAAAAAATGCAGAGGCGCGTTTGACAATCCATTTCCGAGATTTACTCCTTCATTATTCCAGAAAAGGGTCATCTGCGCGAGGCGAGGGAAACTGTAGTTTGGCTCGTAACATCTACTCTAAGTAAGGGTGCTAAATATGCATGTAGCCTGTGCAAAAGAGGAAGATCAGCCTCTCTCTCACTCTCGCGTGCGTAGCAGAAAATTTTGAATAAATATTCATGCGTCGCGCTAGAGGTGGCTCCACTTACTTGGAAAAGAAAAGGCGCTGGGGGATGCAATTTTCTTAATTTATTTGGTTTTTTTGAGGTATTTAAGTCACCGTGCGAGAGAGAGAAAGGGGAAAAATGTGGAAAATTTGTTTTCCATTCTGCTCCAACAAACAACACAGGACTTTCGTGCTATTTTACGTTCAATGGTATACTGTTCGTTCGCAATTTAGTTTTGTAATTACTGTTATTATTTACTCTTGGCAAACAATGTTTGAAATGTTCGAGATAAAATTTTGCAAAAACAATACTTTCGAAAGTTGTTTTCGAATTTTTTTACGTAGTGAATTATTACTCGCGATGCATGCAATTGTGTCCATTGTTCAGAAAAAAATTAGAAAGAAACTAGTATATTCGACGTAACAGATTACACACACACACACACACACACACACACGTATACGCGTACACACAAGCAGAGCAGAGGGAAAAAAGTTGTTACTGTAAAAACAAGTCGGGCAGAGAAAAAAACGAGCCCCTCCAAAGGCTATAAGATAATTTATATTTTTTTCGCTCGCAGCTCGACTCACGTACTGTATGTAGGTATATATATACGAGCAGCGCCGTAACACGTGGGGCACTTGTCAAAGCAACAAACGGCATAATCACTCGTGTTACTCGGAGCTCGCGAGGCGATTAGCGTCGAGAGTATGGAGTAGAGAGAGAGAGAGAGAGAGCGATGTGGTCGAAACGCAAGATCGGCAATCATTGCTATATAGCGAGCGCGCGTACGTAGTAGCGCCAGATAAGCTGCAAATGACAACATTTTGTCAGACGACAAGGGGGCAAAAGCCGTCCGCCAGAGCCCCGTTGGGCAGTCCAAACTCTGTGTATATCTATATACGTACGGCAGATCGCGCGCTGCACTGCCGGATCCTCCGAACAGTCTGTGTGTGTGTGCGCGCGTGTGTACGTGTGCCGCGCTCGCAGCTCTCGACATTATGGAACGAGGCTTTATATGTCCGGGACTGAAACGCGCCGCGCGGCCGATATATCGTCACCGTTCGGGATTACGGGGCGCGCGGTTATCGCTTCGTTCTCTCTCTCTCGCTCGATTCTCGTGCACGAGGAGGGTGGGAGCTTACGAAGCTCCTCTCTCTCTCTCTGCAGCAGCCACTCTGCATGTAGCGCTCTCGGGCGATTTCTATCGCTTTTTAACCCGTCCGTGTGCAACGCACTATTCGCTCGCGTTCAATGGACAGCTCCAACCTACCGGACTCTGCGCGCCCTATGCACGTCCTTCTATGTATTCTTGATACTGTGACCCGTTGCACTGCTTGATGGTCGGTAAAATTGACCTTCGGATGAAAATGTTCCTTCTTATTTCTCTTCTTTATAATGTACATCATGATTTGTGCTTCACCTTTAGTCAATTTGTTTACTCGAATATACAGAAGCAAAAGTAAAAAGAAAACGTTTTTTTCTTTACCATGTGGAAGAAAATCATTAATAATTTTCCTAATTCGAAAAATCGATCCGAAAATATTCGAGTTTTATTGATAGAGCGGGTTACCCACACACGAGGCTTCACAGGTGCGAGTCTGCGAGATAATCTCCGTGAGCTTTTACCAACCTCGTAAATTTTCGTAACGCGCGAAAATTGCAACCGACGACCTAACGAACTTATGTGGCCATGGCTTACGCGTTCCCGAAGCTGGTGTATATACCTTTGGCAGCCCAGCGTTGCTTACTCACAAAGGACTACTATGTACACAGTTCGAATGGTGTACGATGCGACAACGTGAGGGCAAATTTTTGTAGCTTTTTTCTTGTTTGGCCTCTGCGACGTAAAAGCTATTGTGCTCAAAGCTATGAAACTTCGTTGTATAATTGTCTTGAGTTTTCAATGCATACTGTAGATGAATTGTTTATGAAATGATGCTATTGACAACATTGTTCATTCAAAGAAATAAGAGCTTAGGAGACGAAAATAAATCCAAAAGGGTTCTACACTGTTTGAGTCAAAAGAGCTGTATTTCAAAATTAAAGAAGAAAGGAACAAATAATTATGTATTATCAGTTTTTATAAACTACAATTAATTAGTATTTAACGGTTTTTTTGGATTAGTTTTTTTGGAAAAGTATTTCCAAAAAAATACGCGCAAGAAAATTAAGAATGGCCTCTAAAGCTCATTAGAGAGAAAACCATTTATTCTACCGTTCTTCGATTCCCCCGATGAATTTTTTTCCCTGCCATAATGGCTCGTCTAGACGTCTATAAATATTTCGCGAGCGCCACAGCTGAATGGGTCGGTGCTTCAAATTGCAGCTGCACACTGCGTCAAATTGGAAAACATCGGGTGGTGCTGTGAACAATTTTTCAAATATCTATGATTTATAAACATGCATATTGATTAAAAAACATTTTTATCGCATCCACAGGTTTGACATCGTGAGGTTCATAAAAAAAATTTATAAAATAAGTTACCCGTAATTATTATACGATGGAAGCCAGGTCGATTTCACTAAAAATCCCGATCGGTTGGCTGTCTCGGGTCTTGAGCGCGTACAACTGCCCATCTTGTTGATACACGGTGATCCAGCCTTGCTGCTTGGCACGGGCCTTCGCCGCGCGAAACAGCTTGTAGATGTACGGCGTCATGTTCTCGCAGAGATCGACCTGGACATCGGGCCCAGCATGATCCGGAGCAATCTCGGAAAGTTTCAGAGGTCCGTGGATGCGCTTGCGCTTCACGACGTGAGCTCGCGACACGTTCTGCGTGAAGATAGCGACGAACGAGAAGGTGGTGGATGGCGCTGACTTAAGCGGCTTATCGTGGTCAGTCTGCGGAGCCGACGCCGGGCCCCCCTTGCAGAACTTGTACCGCAGCACGTCTTGGTGACATCTGTCTGCGCCGAGCACTTTCAGGATGGACTTGAAGATATTGCTCAGGGCCTCGGTTGTATCGTGAGGCAAGGACAGGGGTAAGCCGTTCACGCGCAACTCGGTACTCGGCTGTATGAGCAAGTACTCCTTGAGCTGCCCGACTTCGGCCCTGGTAGCGGCCAGCTCGTTCCGAGTGTCGTCGTTCTTCTTGTTGGCGTCCGCGATCAAGTCCTCGATCTTTTTGCACCGCAGATTTATGGCGTGCACCTGCGCCACGATGGAGTCGAGCTGAGCCTTGATCTCGGCGGTGACATCCGTGGGTACGGGGATAATCTCGTCGCTGCCTAACGTCATGTTGCCGGCGGTTATAGTCAGGCACGATTTTTAAATGCTCGAATAACGTCGATTTCAACGTAAAGTTTTCAAGTGTCCGAAGTCTCGGCAGAATTATACACAGCTCAGTGTAGAACAAAAGCAAAACTCGCGTGAAACACTGAACTCAAATCAAAACAAATACACGAGGCAGTCGGCAGCTATATACTTCGACGACCAAAGTATACATAACACGCACGAATGTGGCACAGATCTCGATAGATTAAGAAGTCAAAGTCATTACGATTAAATTTTTTAACACGAGTGCAGAGCAGACGGATGCCGATCACGCGCTTACGACACGAAAAAAAAAGAAAACTTTCGGTTCAAAACTACGAGCCACAGAAATCGGAAGATACGCAGCACGATCGAACGCGCGTTTACTCGTTGATAGGCACGTACAGACAAAAGAGGGAGAGAATTTTTAGTCACCGTGTACCTCGTGTCAACTACACACACCTTATATTATACGCTGCGCAATTAATCCGCGAATTCTAGCGCGCTCGACGTCATCTCACCGTGATACAAGTCTATGCAGCTCTAATGGTCGTTGGTCCGATCAGACCAAAAAGTTCAGAGGACCACACAATTGGATCTTACACAGAAGCCTTTGCAATTGCTGCATGTGTGAATAGAGCTCGCACGCTGCAAAATAAAGCCCTCTTGGACTGCAATATATATATAGCACCCGATTGGACGCCTAAACTGCACCGGCACATAAAACTTGCGAGTGCCGCAGGCAGTAGTCGTTACGGCGCGCGCTCACTACTTCGCTGAACGATATATAATATAAGACGTTGCGCTGCATATGCGCGCCTCGGATTTACCTGGCACGAGTTGTTGATTCATGCCCTTCAACGCGCGAGCGAGGAGCGGTCTTATATATACCATGTCTCGCTCTCTCTCTCTCTCTCTCTCTCTCTTTCTCTCGCAAAACACAGACTCTCGCAAAGTGCCAAAGCATTCGAAGCTAGCTCTACAGTTCGCCAGTTTGCCATGAAGCAGCAGCAGCAGCGGTAAAGCTTCCGGCTGACTTAGCACTTGACTGCCAAATCTTCTTATAAACATCGGGCGTGCGCGCGCGTGGGCTATGAAAATGCATGGCATTCACAATTAACGGGCAGCATCAGAAGCGGCAGGCTCTCTTCTGCCGCGCTCGCTCTCTTGCTCCCCGAGTGCTTGCAACTTGTTCATTACTCGCTCGCAAGCTTTCTCTCTTTCTCTCTCTCTCTGCCATCTCGACTTTGAGTTGTATGTACGCCTCTGTCTGTCTCTCTCTCTCTCTCTCTCTCTCTCTCGCGGTCTTTCTCTTACTCTCGCGCAAGCCCGCGAGTTATATACGTATATATATGGTGTGGCATTGGTGGTGGCAGTACTGTCTCGTGTCGTCGTCGTCGTTGTGTACAGCGTGGCAATAAATGTCTCTCTCTCTCTTCGCGAGCCTCGTGCTACAGTACTATTTCCGACTCTTGTCGCGCTATCTTCCGCTCTGCACGCTTCGCAATTCTGTCCCGTTGAGCGCCTCTTCATTTCCCAACTCCATCCACCCCTTTCCTTTACATCTCACCTCCACCCTCTTTGAATTACTATACTATATAATAAGAACACACATAAGTTAGGGCTTAGGGATATGAGTTGACCTCGAGGTGGCGCACTTGTGTTATCCAATGTAACGTCTGTAAAGCACACGATGAACTTCTTTTCGCTATATATAGAGTCACTCGCGGAGCGATTGAAAGGTTTAGAAAACCTAAGGCCTGCACACTTAAGGACGTTGGGGACGCAACCGAGTTCAAATCAGCAACTGTCAAAAAACAGCGGAAGGTAGATACTTGATTTGACTAGGTGGGTCGGTGGTATCATAGGCTCAAAGCCAATACGCATGCTATCACGCGTATTTTTGTCTGCTGTTAACCTCTCGAGTTAGATTGCATGTAAAATAAAGACGACATTTTTTTATTTTTACAAAATTACTTTGAAATATGCTCGTGAATATACAATATAACTGATACTATTTAAAAAGTAAGGATTTCATCTTTCATTATGCGAAATTTGGTCACGATCTCCCATTTTGACATAAAGTTACACTTAAAATTGTGTGAAAAATCTGCTCTTTCCTAGGATTCCCATGTTAAAAAATGTACTTTTGGAATTAACTTATGCAAAAATTCATTCGACAATTGATGCTAAAATTTCGGTAGAACATTATGAGTGTTATCAACTATCAAATTCCGAAGTTTCAACTTCGTGGCCCAACTCGACCCAAAGGTCCCCAACGTCCTCAAAATGCATAGCGCCGTCCCTACGCGTCGCTATGTGCCGCTATGTGTCGCTTTGTATTATTATAACAGTTTTCCGTTAGTTCTGACGGCTCCTTGTTAGTAAAACACATTTGTCGTTCTAGTAAAATTAATTATGGGTAGAATTCAGTTATTGAAAAGCTTAGAAGAATTAAAAGATGCGATAGCTCAATTATCTAATGCATATAGTTTTCAAAAAAGTTAAAAATGGATAAACTAAAAGTGGCTGGTACGTCCTTTTTACGAAGGCAGATCCTCAAAAGGATTTTTAATGTTTCTTTTAAAGAACTTCAAAATAACGAGAAGCTATTCTTCAAAAGTACCAGAATGGAAAAAAATTAATTTTTGAATATTTATTTTCATTGGTTAAAGTTGTTATTAGACCTTTAAGAAATAGAAAGAATAATGTCTCGCCTAAAGAACGGTTGTTTTTAACTTTAAAGGGGGAAAGGTACCTTAAACCTACATTTGTAAAAAATTTATTAAAAATGAAGAAAAAATTTTTTTTGGAATATACAGAGAAAACTCTGTTTTTTTCACTCTTTTTCCAAAGTTTTTTACTCAGGAAAATGTAAATTAAGGTCCCAGTCACCATAGAACTGTTATGGCTGGGCTATTTGTTAAATAATACCCGAACATTTATTTTAATCTAACTGCACCAAAATCTGAGATACACATTTAAGGTTTGACACAAGACTTTTATTATAGAGTTTGCACATATAAAATGGATATTATATTTTTCGTTACACTTTCAGTTATAATGTACCACGCGATTGGCTCAGCTGTAGTTCAATTATAAAAAACTAGGATAAGGTGTTAGCGCGTGAAGACCGCAAGATGTTAGTGCGTCTGTCTGCGAGAGCTGAGAGCCGACCGCCCGAGATTACAAAGATGCACGCTATATATAATAATTGTTGAACCCCGAATTACAGTGGGGCGATATTGGAAGATTACCCGAATTCGCGTAAGCTATCCCGTGACTAGCGCGTGGTATGATAACCCATAAATTACATCATTCTTTTATTACCCCTTTTAATGACGTTATATCGAAAAACTCGAGGTCGAGAAACAGCGTGACGAGAATCGATTTTTTGGATATAACAGAACCCTCCTCGATGAAGCAAGGTCATCAATCATGGCCATTGGGGTCTCATTTTGATCATTAGATGTGTGGTTACAAACGCAAGCACTTTCAGATTTTTTTATTAGTTATACACAATTTGCCAGCCACATATACACATTTATTCATTAATATATATGATAAAATGACAGATTATGCTACAATATAGCCTGAAAAAAGTGCTCATTTGTCCCAATACCTTTGAAAGTGCTTGCTTGTAGCCATTCTCATGTAGAACAATCCCTGAAAATTTCAGCTCATTTGCTCAAACGGTTCACATGGAAAGTTACGGCAACAAAGCAATTTTGAGATGAAGCTTAACTGCCCAAGAGTTAAAAAAAACAAAAATACACCAATTTATGTCATAATGATACTCTCATGTCATTGAGGCTGCTTTTAACTTTTTGGACAATAAAAAACAGTAATTCAACTTGAATTTTTAACATATTAGATCCCCAAGGACAATGTTAAATTATCCCAGAGAGACACACAAAGCCAAATGTGATAATTTCATCCCTACATTTTATAAGTTCTACTAAAATGTTAGTATACGCTAATATGGGGTTTATGTGGAAACTGGTAACTAAGTTGATTATGTCCAAATCAACTTTTCACACAAATATACACAATTTTACATTAGAACTTGAACTCAGTCCTCTACCTATTCACTCACATTCATAAAACATTAATCATTAGATCTATAGTTGGAAATAAAATCACTCAAAATTGGTCAATTATCACTAATCTTGTTTATCACGTGCAACATACAATAATATACATAATACAGTCATATACACATACATAAAATACAGTGACATACATATACACTGATGTATATATGTCAATTTACATATGTACTGCAGTATTTCTTGAATTTAAACTGCTAAAAATGTCACATTTTCATGAAAAGCTATTGAAACATCTTCATAGCTTTATTAAGAAACACTATGTCAAGTTGCAAAGATATAACTTCATTGTACATGTACTTTTTTCACTTTCAAAAAAATGTAATTTTTAGCCATTAGAAAATCAAGAAGCAATCAGCAGACTGTTATTGACATTTGATCTGGGCTCGCGCACGAAACAGAGAGAGACAGACGATATGCCGAAACCCACGTGCTGCGAGTGGTGGCGTTACATGCCATGTAAACAAACAAATTTCTGCTAGATGTACTCTAACCAAAGAATAAAACTAGTATCAATAGATGGCGCTACCGACTTATGAAAGTCTCGAGATTCATGAGAGAATGGCAGCGATATATCTTTGAGTTGTTTCATTCATTTTTTCTAAATAATCGTAAAAGTATTGGTACTAACATCACGGTACAGTTAAAATTTTAAAATTCCGATCACGGCACTGGAAAGCTGAGGAAAAATTCTATCAAAAAAGTCAATGAAAAAAAATTTTTTTTTGAAATTTTAGGTACCTTTCCCCTCTTAAGGTAAAATTAAATTTATACTACAAAAATTATCATTAAAAATTGTGTTTTTTGACATCTTTATGTATCGAATAATTTTTCAGCTATTACAGCTTTATTTTAATTAAGCTTTAATTATTTAGCTATTTAGCTATACAGGTGATGAAATTTTTTCTATTGCTGTGAAGCACTGAATAAGCGAAACAAGTGTTTTAATTATAATTAAAACTACTTACTGAGCTATAATCTCATAAGGAGAGCTTTTCAGGTCCGGGTCACAGAACTTTACCAAACTTTTTTGGGTGCCAGGAGACAGCAAAAAAATTTTGGAGCAATTCCATGACCTGGACCTGAAAAGCTCTCCTTGTCAGTATTGGCATATTTGAAAACTCCAAAAAATGTTGTTTGGAAAAATATCGCCAAAGGTTTTCAAGCATTTTGGAATATGCCAAACTGTATCAGCGGTATTGATTGGATGCATATGAGGCGTTTCAGCCCAAGTGTCCTAGCACGGCGGCCGCACGGCACTTTTATGCGAAATTGCTTAATTTCTTTCTCGCTGTAAAACCCCCTAA